TTATTTCAAGTACTTAGGGTCTATGATACATAAAGATGGGGGTGTAGATGATGACGTTACACACCGTATAAAGGCGGGATGGCTAAAGTGGAGGGCTGCTACTGGAGTTTTGTGTGACAAGAAGGTGCCTCTAAAACTTAAGGGAAAATTTTATAGAATGGCAATAAGACCAGCGCTGTTGTATGGATCAGAATGTTGGGCACCCAAGAAGGATCACGTTAGGAGGATAGAGGCCGCAGAAATGAGAATGCTTCGATGGACATGTGGTAGGACTCTGTGGGATATGACGACAAACTCTGCTATTAGGATGTCCTTAGGGGTGATGTCTGTTTCCGAAAAAATGAGGGAGGGAAGACTACGGTGGTTTGGACACGTCCTTAGGCGACTACCGTCGGATGCGGTCAGGAGGGTAGAGTCGATTACAGTCGACGGTGCCAGAAGGAAAGGACGACCAAGGCGGAAGTGGGATGACTGCTTGAGATCTGATTTGAAGGATTTAGGCCTTACCGAAGACATGACCTATGATAGGAAATTATGGAGGCTTAAGACTAGGGTAGTCGAGTAGGGTGGGTCACATCTATAGGGTGTATCATCTTTGTCTTCTTTTAAAAGCATTTGTAGTTATTTCCTTGACTTTTACTTTTTATACTTTTCTGTTATTGGTATTTATGAAATATTAGAACTGGGCTTGCTATCGTTGTCTCATGTGTATCATTCTCATCATGTTTCCTCTGTTAATTTTAGCCGGGTCTTAGGTTTCTGTCTATATGCAGAGACTCTTTCGCAGGGATTATTTTGTAGGGATTACTCCCCATTACAGAAGCACATATGGTATTAATGACTGCATATGAATACTGTTTAGCTATGTATTTATGTAATTATTTATACATGCATTGCATTTTATCTATATTTTTAATTTTCTGACTGCCGGAGGTCTTTCACGGAAGCTATTCTCAACCTGGCGTTGGGGGCAGCCTACTACCCTACCTCCCCCTTACCCCATACATATGGGAATTGGGTTTTGTTGTTGTTGTTGTTGTTGTTTGAGTCAACCCAAACTAGTCTTAATCAACTCAAATCAATCTAAGTCAACGCGAATTGGTCTGAGTCAATTTGAACTGGTTTGACCTTGACTAAATTGTTGACTTTGATCAAACTGTTAACTTTGACCAACATTGACTTTGAACAAAAGTTTACCTTTTTTGGAAAGTTATATTTTAAGTTTTTCATTGTCTTGAGTTTGATTTTACGGTCTGTTTCACCAAATTCTAACCCCAAAGCCTTCAAATCTAACCTTAAACATGGTCATGTATATGTATTAAACTATTTTATTTAAGTATATTTAAATTAAACTAATTTATATTGTTGTTGTTAAGGTACTTGTGATTCTCCCGGCCGTTTATTAGCTCAACCCAGCTCCTCCTGATTGGTTCGATTGAACAAGATCACGATTACTTGTATGATTTTGTAAACCATCTGAATACTTATATTTAGGAATGACTTTGATAGTAACCCTATTTCATTATGGATTAGGTTCAAGCACAATTGTAGAGCGTGGCGAGACCGATGCTCAGTAGACCTCCCAGACTGATTCTTTTTACGAGGTGTGTTCTTTGTGTGCTATATAAAATATTTTGAATACTTGTTTGATTTATCATGTGCACATGGCTGTTCTATTTGTTTGAAATATGATCATTTTATTTGGTTTGAACTTTGAATGATTTATCTGATTAAGATCCTAATTATTGATTTATTAATAATAAACTATGTTGCCTAAATACATGTTCTATAGTTACTGGTTTTACTGAAAAATAAATATGTCTAATTTACGTTTTCTTGAATCTACTAGTACTATCTAAAACTATTTTATTGGAGTACTTTCTAGGATGTGATACGATGTCTCTACAAGTTTAACTCCGATCAAGTTAGTAATTCTTTATGGGCTTAAGAAGACCCTTGGGTAGGCTCTTAAGATTAATGGGACTAGGGTAAGATCTTATGGATCCTAAGGAACTCCCTTAGGATGGTTCATATGCCCAATGGATATAGGGTAAGTTCTTATAGACCTGAGGCACCCCCTCATGTGGGCTCATACACTTTGACTAGGGTAAGTCCTTATGGCCCAAGGTATCCCTTTAGGTTGGCTCCTATACCTAATGGGTATAGGGTAAGTTCTTATGGATGCAATTTTGGGGAGAAACATATTGGTGTACAATTGAAGGATAACTAAGTGATTTTACTAAAAATCTTATTGTCACTTTCTACTATGTTATTGAATAAATTATAAAACATAATGTATATTATGTTGCACTTATTGGAACACACTGAGTTCCCTAGCTCACTCTCCCAAATTTCCCCCGTTTAGATACTTTTGGTTAGGTACCTCGGACTTGACACTTGGAGGATAGACATATTCTCTACAGTTTATATAGTTGTAATGTTTTTATCTTCCAAATTACCTTTATTTTGGTGACATATGCATGTATTTTGATATACTTATTTTATAATGTATTGTATTTTACTACTGATGTATGGGTTATTATGATTTTAAATTATTGAAGAATGTTTTGGATACTTTCATGTAATCCGCTAGATCTACTCATTGGGTCTAGGGTATTACATTTGATTGATAACAAATCTTTTGGTTTCTAAACCTCGGATTGTGAGTAAGTCTTAAATAAACATATTATTTTAAAACATTTTAACGAAACTTACTATAAGGGACATGCCACCAAATTTTTATAAGTTTAACTGTGTGCGGTACTCCAGTACCAAATCTAATCTTAAATATTACATGTTGTTGTGAGCCTTGAGATCCGTCAATATGAGCGCTAGACAGGATGACGACCTTCTCGTGGGTGAGGTGAACCTGCTAGATTCTCTGATCTAACTATAAACTCTTTGCTTCCAGTAGATCCTCTTACCCTTCGAGGTCTTTCAATTTTGATGGATCTGTTGCCTACCCCTAGTATCGATATAACGACACTTGTTAGGGGAGCGTTAGTTTCTGAGAATGAACCTAAAGATGTATTGATAGATGAGACTCTTGGTAGAAAGTTTCTTTAGTTGATACATGGTGCATTCAGAGCAACAAGTGTAGCTCCTAAGGTTTCAATCACTCAAAAATTTAATCATTAATAGGGTTAGAATGTTCAGAAGCCCAACTAATGAAGCTCTTATTGAAGTAGATGATTGACATTACGATACTTAGAGTCGTATGAATCAGTTGGGTTTAGAGCCATCCATAAGATATTTAGGAGTTGTCTCCATTTTAGATGGGAATGGCCACACTTGGTGAGAACCTATAGTGAGTAGCGTTCCCGCTGATTGTCAGACGTGATATTTTTTCAAGGAGCACTTATAGAATTATTTCTTTAGAGAGACATATTTGGATGAGAGATGACAACAGTTTCAGGATTTGGTTCGGAGAGATATGTTGGTTTTTTAGTACGAGATGGAATTCTTGAAATTGTTGAAGTATGGTTCTAGTATGGTTCGTACTGAGAGGGATATGTGCCGTAAGTTTGCTTGGGGACTCAGATATAAGCTGTGTATACACGTGGTGACCCATCAGGATAAGATATTTGATGTTCTAGTGGGGAGAGCAAAAGATACTAAGGAGGTTAAGGCCTTGGCTCCTATTATTGATCGAGTAGATTGAGAGTGATCTAGGAGGTCTTCTACACGTCCTAAAAAGAGGACTCGTACTGCTGCTGCTCTGTAGAGGACTAATACCAGTTCTAGGCCTGCAACACCTCCATCCATAGCTATCAGTAAAGGTGATTCAATGGGTTGTTCTCATGTGTCTGTTTATGAGTTTTATGGAAATCAACATGAGGGAGAGTGTTGAAAGAAGATAAATGATTGCTTTCAATGAGGATCCAATAGTCATTTTCTGAGGCCTACAACACCTAGGCTCTTGCAAGTTCACAGGCTTCTATTCAGACCCCAACTAGAGGTCGTAGCTAGGGGAAAACTTATGGATCTGCTTAAAAGTCTAAAAGTAAAGCCCATTCATAGTAGAGTAGAGGAGCAGTTGTATCTGAGGCAGAGGTTATCGCATGTGTATTTACTATTTATTTTGTTCTATACTTTACAATGCTAGAAAACGGTTCCACCCACTCTTATGTTTCGAGTTCCGTATTCTAAGACTTTGAGATTCTTATCGAGAACACTGAGAGTGTTCTTACTGTAATAAGCCCTTTGGGACAATCGGTGGTTGTGAATAAAATATTTTCGCATTGCCCTCTAGAGGTTCAAGGAGAAAGTTTTTAGCCGACCTTATGGAACTTCCTTTGAAGGAGCTTGATTTCATTTTGGGGATAAATTAGTTGAATAAACATCGAGTCAATCTAGATTGCGAGTACAAGAGAGTTACTTTGAAGACTACTAATGGTCAGATTGTAGTATTAATTGAGGAGCATCGAGGTTATCTTTCCAAAATAATATCAACTCTGACTGCTAACCGGGTGATCCGAAAGGGATATGAGACCTTTATTATATGTATTTTGAATACTAGAGGCTCTTTATAAAAGATCAAGGAAATTCGTATCGTTAATGAGTTTCTTGATGTCTTTTCAGATGATTTTCTAAGGTTACCTCCAAATAGGGACATAGAGTTTGAGATGATACTTATATGGGCTTTACGTCTGTTTCCACGAAACCATACCATATGGGTCCTAAGGAACATAAGGAGCTGAAGGTTCAACTGCATGAATTACTTGATCGATGTTTTATTAGACATAATATCTCAACCTAGGAAGCTCTGATTTTATATGTGAAAAAGAAAGATGGATCGCTCAAGTTGTGTATTGATTAAGGAAGTTGAGCAAGATGAAATCCAAGAACAAATATCTACTGTTCAGGATTGATGACTTATTTGACCAGTTGCGGGGAGCCAAGGTATTCTAAAAAATAGATATTATCAGTTCAAGATAAAGGATTATGATGTTACAAAGACTACTATCCGTACCAAATATGGACATTACGAGTTTCTAGTGATGCCATTTGGTTTGACCAATGCTCCCGTGGCCTTTGTAGATTTGATGAACCATGTGTTTCAGCCATACCTAGATCAATTTATGGTGGTGTTCATTGACAATAATCTGGTATATTCTCATATAGAGGCAGAACATGATGAGCACTTGAGGATTATTGTACAAACACTGAAAGAGCATCGTCTGTATGCCAAACTAAGAAAATGTGAATTCTGGCTTCGAGAGGTGACATTTCTTGGGCATATTGTATCTTCTAGAGATATTTTGGTCAATTCGAGCAAGATTGAGGCCATCTTGAGTTGAAAGTAACCCAACAATGTCTTTGAGAAATACAATAATGTCTTTGAGATTTACAATTTCTTGGGTTAAGCTGGGTACTACAAGTTCTTTGTCAAGGGTTTCTCCATCATTACTACCCATTTGACGAAGATGTTAAGGAATAATGTTCCTTTTGTCTGGGTTGATGTTCAGTAGAAGAGTTTTGAGAAATTAAAGTTAACATTGAACCAAGCCCTAATTTTAATTCCACTTGATCTTGAGAAGGATTTCACGGTCTATAAAAATGTTTCACGCTCTGGACTTGGTTGTGTTCTGATGCAAGAAGAAAGGGTAATTACTTATTCATCTCATAAACTAAGGACGCATGAGTGTAATTATCTAACCCATGATTTGGAGTTAGAAGTTATGATCTTTTCCTTGAAGATCTGAAGACAATATCTCAATGGAGATAAGTGTTATATCTTTACCAATCATAAGAGTCAGAAATATATTCTTACTCAGAAGGAACTTAATTTAAGACAACAGTGTTGGCTCAAGCTTTTTAAGGATTATGACTGCGAGATTAATTACCACCTAGGTAAAGATAATGTTGTTGCTGATGCTTTGAGCCGTAAGAAAATATCTGATTTGAGGTCATTATTTGCCAAGATGAAGTTATATAATGATGACATTCTATCAGCAAAATTACAGGCTAAGCCTACCTTGGCCGAGGAGATTAAGGCCAAGCAGTTTCTAGATAGCTCTTTGCTTCCCATTATTGAGCAAGTTGAGCAGGGGCCTACCTCATATTACATTTTTGAACATGATGAAATTTTGTGCTTCAAGGGTTGTTATTATGTACCCGATGAAAAAGAGTTGAGGTGGGCTATCTTTGATACTGTTTGGTTGCCATGAAGAAATATATTTCTGTTTATGTGGCTAGATGCCTAACTTGTCAGCAGGTTAAGGCAGAAAATCAATATTCGTCTGGCCTATTGCAGTCTATCAAGATTCCTGAGTGGAAGTGAAAGCCGATTATGATGGAATTTATTATTGGTCTACGTTTGACTCATTCAAATAAATATTCTTTAGAGGTGATTGTTGATAGACTCACCAAGTCAACTCATTTTATCTATGTTCGAGTTAATTATTCTTTGGACAAGCTAGCTAGTTTGTATATCTAAGAGATTGTTAAATTGCATGATATTCCATTATATATCATTGCTGATCGAGATTTAAGATTTACTTTGAGGTTCTAGAAGACTCTGCACGAGGCTTTAGACACTCATTTGAATTTTAGTACAAATTTTCATCTTTATATGGATGATCAGTTTGAGAGGGTGATTTAGGTTCTGGAAGACATATTACAAGGTTACGTGATTTAGGACTTCTTACCTTTGGCCGATTTTATATATAATAATAACTATCAGGCCAATATTTATACTCTCATATGTTGGACTGAGTTGCATGATAGGAAGAATTTGGGTCCAGAGTTAGTTTGAGAGACTAAGGTTATTGTCAAACTGATTCGTGATTGTATAAAAAAGGCATTAGATAAAAAAAGGTCTTATGTCGATTAGAGAAGGAAAGATATCGAGTTTGAAGTTGGAGATCAGGTCTTTCTAAAAGTATCTTCGTGGAAGAAGGTGTTGAGATTTAGACGTAAGGGTATGATGAGTTCGAGATTTATCGAGCCATATCATATTTTAAAAAGATTCAAACTTGTTGCATATCAACTTGAGTTACCTCCCCAACTTAGCCGTATTCATGATGTTTTCCATGTATCTATGCTCATACTATATCGTTTAGATCTGAGTCACATAATTCAGATTGAGGATGTTGAGTTGAGACATGATGTATCTTACGATGAGGAGCTTGTACAGACATTGGATCGAGATGAGAGACTTCTTCATAATAGGTGTATTTCGATGGTAAAGGTTTAGTGGAGTAACCGTGGTCCCATATAAGCTACCTAAGAGAAAAATGAATCAATGAAGACTCAATTTTTGTATCTTTTTCGTTTAGGTGAATTTCGATGATAAAATTTTCTTAAAGGGAAGAGTTTTCACACTCCAAGTTTTCTTGGTTAATAATAATCCCTTAGAATAATTTTGAGGGTCAAACTGACACCTTATAAAATTTTATTAACCAATCTATAACTCAAGGGAAGTTCAGGACCATGAGCTATGTTTTATCCATCTACCTTTGACTTTGGAATTGATAAAAATAGAAAAAAAAGAAAAAGTATAATTTACAGGGTTGAAACTCGTGACCAACAAGAACTCCAACCTATCCCCTTACTAATTAGACCATGTCGCTGTAGATAACATGAAATTAGGAAAATATCTGTTAAAACGACCTATGTGGGATTTCTAGAATATCTCAATCCAATCTTTTGATTTAACTCAGGCCCCGTGAAAAACCATTTCCCAGAAATCTTTTATATTCAGCCATTCAAACCACTTCCCATCACCGTTCAACCTTCACCGGTCGTCTATGGCAAGCACCACAATCACCCACATGTCCTCCATAATCCTACAACCAAATCCCAACTTTTAGTTACTTATTGTCGATCATCGTTTGCTAAAAGTTGATAAGAAACCATTTGGTCTCACCATCGTTATTCTCGACCGTAATTTATCTATGAACGTCAACACCCATATTAGTGTAAGAGCCTAGTTACCACGATCAAAACCCTACCAACCACACTTTGTGAATACCCATTGTTTGCCGTGGAGAACCCTTCAAAGGTTCATCAGAGCCTAGATTGGTCGTATTTATTTTTTGATGTTTCTGGCTAATTCCATTATCTTTTCATCACACCGCCGTCACCATAGTGTTCCATAGTCAGTTTTGATTAAATCCTAGTTAGGTTCATCCCCACGTTGTCGCTCATTTGTCGTCGTTGTTGGGTAAGTTGTTCGGTCACTTTTTTATTGTTTCTTTGACTTGTGGTTGGATATTTGAGATGATCTGAGTTGATTTTGGTATTCGATTGTATCTCAAGTGATAGAAAGGTCCCTATTATCATTTTGGTAGCCGCACACACTGCCTCGCGCTACCCCTACGTGTGAGACTTCTCCTCTAACTGTAATCATTCTAGAAACTGGTCTGAGTAAACTTGAAATGGTCTAAATTAAATCAAAGTGGCATCAGTCAACTTGAACCAGTTTAAATCGTTGACCTTGACTTAACCTTTGACTTTGACCGGGTGTTGACTTCGACTTTGACCAAAAGTTGGTTTTTTTTCTTCTGAAAAGTCACATTTTTGGTTTTTCATCTTCTTAAGTCTGATTTTATAGTTCATTTTTGCAAACTCTAACCCAAAAGCTTCCAAATTGAATATTGAACATGATAATACATATATATTAAACTATTTTATTTAAATGCATTTAAATTATGGTCAAGGAACTGATATGCTATTATTGTTATGGTACTCATGATTCTCTCAACTGTTTGTCAGCTCAACCCAACTCTTTTTGACACGTTCATCCGTGTGAGCCTATGATTACTCGTATTATTTTGTAAACCATCTCAATACTTAGATTTAGATACGACTTCAATGATAACCATGCTTCGTTATGGTTTAAGTTCGAGCACTACTTAGAGCATGGCGAGATCGATACTCGATAGTCCTCCTGAATTGATCTTTTTTGTGAGGCATGTTCCTTGTGTTCTATATAAAATATTTTGAATACTTGATTGATTTATCATGTGCATATGATTGTTTTATCTGTTTGAAATATGATCATTTTATATGATTTGACCTTTGAATGATTTATCCAATTGAGATCCTAATTTTTGATTTAATGATTATAAACTATGTTGATAAATGTTCTATGGTTATCATTTTTACAGAAAAACAAATATCTCTAATTAACATTTTCATGAATCTACTGGTACTATCTAAAACTATTTTATTGGGGTACTTTATGGAATGTGATATGAAGTCTGTACAAGTTTAGCTCCAAATCTCGGGCTAGTAGTTTTGGGCAAAACCGAGAATATTTAGAATAAATTCATTTTCCTTATAGGAAGCCTTGACCCAAACTTAGGTAGGATTAGGCTTTGTTTGGGACCAATACATGATAAAAGTGGTATTTTTAAATTAAGACTAAAAGTTGGGAGGACCAAAGAAGCATTTATAACAATTTTAGTTTAAAAGGCTGAATCCCATTAAGGTTGGGAGATATCACGTCTGAATCCTCTTCTCTCAAATCTCTTTTTCATTACCCTTGTCTTCTTCCTCCATTTAAACCGTATATTGTCTTCCATTGTATCTTAAGAAAGGTAGCAACTTTGTGATCTAGCAAGCTTGGTATGAGATTATAATGGTAAGAATCATAACCTATTCATCCCAAGCTTTATTTCAAGCCCTTAATATTCAATTTTGGCTATGGTTTCCATAGAAAGAGTTTTAGTGGGGTTTAGAAACCCATGGTTTTTTCAGCTCGTTTTGAGAATATTAGGGCTCTAGGAAACTTTCTTAACATTTCCCTAAGATTTCAAATCAGTTAGTAACTCATGTATATGATTTTTGTCTAGTTAGAGAAGTTGGGGAGAGCTCTAAAAGTAAGGGGAAGGAAAAGCTAACCCTTGGTTAAGTTGAAGAGTTTTCCAGCAGCTTAGGAATTCAGGTAACACATTTATAACTCATCTCTACCACATATAGATCACTAGATATGTTTGGTTGGTTTGCATGAGTTATGAAGCATGTAAGCACATTCATGGTAGATTTCAGCTTATGGTGTCTTTCAACATTAATCGTGGCCTATTATGACCCCTCTTAATATACATAAGATTGAAATAATAGTTAAGTACCTTAGTAACACTTTAGGGGAAAGTTGAGTAGTATTTTTATGCTCAAAACAAAACATTTCTAGGCTTGAGTATCAGTACCAGATAAACAATACCGATATTGTGCTTCAGGTAGCTATAAACAAAGGGTTTTTGGCTAGGAGTATCAATACTTGTTCATGGGATATCGATACTCGAGGGTGGGGTATCAATACAATGTTTAGTCATCATATTTCAGTTGCCTATTTTGGTATCGGTACTTAAGGAAGTATTGGTACCGAGCGAAGGATATCGAACCCTAGGTAAGGGTATTGATATTGAATTCATTTTTGAACATTAAATCAAATTATGATATCGATACTTAGAGTGATATTGATATCGTAGTACAAAAGTATCAATACTCCAAGGAGGGTATCGATACTGTCAAGTTTTCTCAAATTCCAATAGCCATTTTTGGTATTAGTACTAAGGGTGAGTACCGATACTCATGGGTTAGTATTGATACTGTAAGATTAGTATCGATACTAGTATAATGAATTGGTTACGAAAAACAATTTAAGTTAAGAGGTTGGAAAATGGGGTCTAATGGCATCAAAAATTCTCGAAAAAACTAAAAGTGAGAACAATAAATTAATACAATTATAATTAAGAACCCCGAGTGAGATGCTCAATAAATAACTAGGACACCAAATTTACTTTAGCAGTATGATGATAATCTTACATGTTAGAATATCCGAATATACCTCAACTAGTGCCAAGGCAATTCAGCTGCTAGTTGGGCGCAAATTCCATAAGACTCTCAAGAGTGAGCAAGTCGGGTGTGTCATAACTATTTTTTTATAAAATTAAATTTAAAAATAATTATGACTTTATTTTGGAAGATTTGGATTTTTTGGTCTAATTTGAAATTGAAGTCGCCATCGACCTTTGGGTTAGGTAGGTCGAAAACCTAAAAACTATTTTAAAACAATTTTAAGAAAAACCGTTTTAAGACAAAATTGGTCTGTGTTTACCAAAAATTTATTTTTTAAGGATTCAGGAGTTGATTACATGTGGGACAGGATTAACACCCCCACATTGTCCAAAATTGGTAACTCTCGATTATACGCTGTTTAAAT